ACCCTGTACATTGGCAGTCAACGTTGAACTGCCAATCTATACTCTGTCGTCGCACATGGTCGCGAACACACATGCCACGCTGCTCTCACAATGCAACACACACACACACATACATACACACACAACGCAACAAAACAGGCGAAGCGTGATCGGGCGCGGGTGATTGCGGAGCGAGACGATTTGATCAAGACGCTCAATGCGCGCTCGCACGAGCTGAGCACGCACTATGAGATGCAGCACATGCAGTCGTCCATGCTGAAGGACATTGAGGTCGCCATTCAAGCGAGCGAGGAGAACTTGAGATTCCTTCGATTGGAATCCAAGCAGCTTGTGGGCCACATTGCTGCGCTGAAGAAGAAACAAGACTCCAAGCAAACTCTCGAGGAAGAGCTCGTCTCGAATCAGGTACATGCGTGTGTGCTTGATTGCTCGTGCGTGTGTGAGTGTGCATGTGAACATGTTAGTGTGCGTTTGTTCATCTTTGCATGCGTGTGTATGTTTGGTTTTGTGTAACACATGCACATGTGTCACAGTCAGAGATTGATGCTTACACTCACCACCGCCACCCCCCCCCCCTCATCACCTCTTTGCTCACCCATTTGCTCCACGTGACCAGGAGGCGCTGGCTGAGGTGCAGCGGAAGGTCGAGGCGCTGGAGAAGAAGCTGACGAGTCCGGCGGTGGCGTCGCGATGGCGAGAAATGCAGGACAAAGAGGAAGACCCGCACCAACTCGAGATGAAACTCCACTCCCTCTCCGTACGTCCATGCTGTGATGGTAGTGGTGGTGTTCAGCGTAGTGGTGTTCATTGTGATTACTGCAATCGTTCTTCTCTGTGCTTTGCGAATACTCGTGCATTCATTGGCGATTATAATCGTGTCGTGCCATCCTTCCTCTCACTCACACACCATAACCACCACTCACCACCATCGTCACACCCCCCCCCCAAACCAACATCGTGTCTGTCGTGTGTGTTTAGGACCGGCTGGCGGAGCGAGAGGAGCGTTCGCTCGAACTTGATCTTCTGGCGGAGGAAACAGACCGCCTCTGTCAGCGCGCTGAAGTGCGACTTGAGGGCAGAAAAAGTGAGCCCTTACTGCTGCCACCTAGTTGTGTGTGTGTGTGGTTGTGTGTGTGTGTGTGTGTGTGTGTGTGTGTGTGTGTGTGTGTGTGTGTGTGTGTGTGTGTGTGTGTATATGAGTACATTGAGCTTTAAACAGTTATCAAACTGGATTTAACTGCGTGTGTATCCTTGGTACACAGAGCCTCCTCCTCCCCCCCACCTACCCTACCCCCCCCCCCCCCCCCCCCCCCCCCCCCCCCTCCCCCCCCCCCCCCCCCCCCCCCCCTCTCTTGTACGCGCGCTTTGCGTGCGCGCTCTGTGGGGGAAAAGTGAGTGAGTTGGTTGACTACCTCATGCTCTCTAA